CTAACCTCTTCCACAAGATGACAGGCCTGGACCCAGAAACCGACAAAATCCTCCAGATCTGCTGTTTTATCACAGACGCCCAATTAAACCTCCTCGAACCGACCGGCTTTGAAGCGGTCATCAACGTCCCAGACTCCACCCTCGACGCGATGTCGCAGTGGTGCATCGACACACACGGACGCACGGGCCTCACCGCCGCCGTGCGCGCCTCGACCACCTCCCCCTCCACCGCCGCAGAGTCTCTCCTCGCCTACATCCGTCAGCATGTCCCGGTCCCGCGCACCGCCCTGCTCGCGGGAAATAGTGTTCACGCGGATAAGGCTTTCCTTGCTTGTGCGCCGTACTCGCAGGTGTTGGATCATCTGCATTATCGCATTCTAGATGTTAGTTCCTTGAAAGAAGCAGCGCGGAGGTGGGGCAGTGATCAGATGCTTGAACAGGTCCCGGCTAAGCGGGAGGTTCATCTTGCTAGGGATGATATTCTTGAAAGTATTGAGGAGATCCGGTTTTACAAGGAGAAGCTGTTTGGGTGATGGTGTGGCTGAATATGGTGGCTTACTTGTTTCTGTTACTCTGAGACATGGGTCTGAGAGGTAGTTTAAAACTCTGCATGTTGAAATTGGTCTTAATTATCTTTCCCTAGGGTGAGAATATACCATGCAATGTACACTAGGTACATGTACAATATACTTCGGAAGAAATGTTGTACAAGAGTAACTATTTTGATTCCCTCACGGGAATGATCTGGGACAATTCGAAAGAGTTGGCAGATAACTTGTAGATTGGACTGAATAGAACAAATCAGAGAGATCGTTGAGCTATACAGAGCACAGATTTAAATTACTAGTTACATATTGTGGCAAAGTACAAGTGTACTAGTGGGATGATAAACACATGACGCCAAAGATTGGCCCCTCCCCGTGGAGCTCAACAAGTCGGTGAACTTCTTAAACTTCTCCCCCCCCTTCTTCTTCTCTACTCCTTACTACCCTCTTTCCCTCTATTATTGCATCATGTCCGTCCAAACGGTCTCCATCCAGCCCTTCACTGACCAGAAGCCTGGAACGTACGTTTGCTCGTTGCCCCGCAATTGAACTGCTAGCTAACTTGCTCGCAGCTCCGGCCTCCGCAAGAAGGTCAAGGTCTTCCAGCAGGACAACTACTCCGAATCCTTCATTACTAGCATTCTTCTGTCAATTCCCGAGGGCGTTGAGGGCTCCTTCCTCGTCATTGGTGGCGATGGCCGTTACTACAACCCTGAGGTCATCTCCAAGATTGCAAAGATCAGTGCCGCTTATGGCGTGAAGAAGCTATTGGTTGGACAGCATGGCATTATGAGCACCCCGGCTGCTAGCAACCTCATTCGCGTGAGAAAGGCAACTGGTGGTATCCTCTTGACTGCCAGTCACAACCCCGGTGGTAAGTGATGATCAATAACAATATCTGGTGGAGACTGACCAGGTACCCCCAGGCCCCGAGAACGACTTCGGTATCAAGTACAACTTGGCCAATGGTGCCCCCGCTCCCGAGGGCGTTACCAACAAGATCTTCGAGACCGCGAAGACCCTCACCTCCTACAAATACCTCGATGTTCCCGATGTCGATACCTCTACCATCGGTACTAAGAACTACGGCCCCCTAGAGGTTGAGATCGTTCACTCCACTGCCGACTACGTGACCATGATGAAGGAGATCTTCGATTTCGATTTGATCAAGGAGTTCCTTAGCTCCCACAAGGACTTCAAGGTCCTTTTCGACGGCATGCACGGTGTGACCGGACCCTACGGCGTGGATATCTTCGTCAAGGAGCTCGGTCTGCCCACCAGCAGCACAATGAACTGCCAGCCCAAGCCGGACTTTGGCGGCGGTCACCCCGACCCCAACCTCGTGTACGCTCATGAGCTCGTCGAGGCCGTTGACGCGAACGGCGTGCACTTCGGTGCCGCTAGTGATGGTGACGGTGACCGTAACATGATCTACGGTGCCAACAGCTTCGTTTCCCCCGGTGACAGCTTGGCCATCATTGCCCACCACGCCAAGCTCATTCCCTACTTCCAGAAGCAGGGTGTTTACGGCCTGGCCCGCTCCATGCCCACCTCCGGAGCCGTAGACCGCGTGGCCAAGGCCCAAGGCCTGCAGAGCTACGAGGTGCCTACCGGCTGGAAGTTCTTCTGCAACCTGTTCGACGAGAAGAAGATGTCGATCTGTGGCGAAGAGAGCTTCGGCACGGGCAGCAACCACATCCGCGAGAAGGACGGTCTGTGGGCCGTTGTCGCCTGGTTGAACATCATTGCTGGTGTCGCCAAGCAAAAGCCCAACGAGACCCCCAGCATCGGCTCCATTCAGAACGAGTTCTGGCAGACCTACGGCCGTACCTTCTTCACACGCTACGACTTCGAGAACGTAGACAGCGAGGGCGCAAACAAGGTCGTCGGCACTCTGTCCGACCTGGTCGCCAACCGCGACACCTTCATTGGCTCCGAGATCGCCGGCCGCAAGGTCACCGATGCTGGCAACTTCTCCTACACCGACCTCGACGGTAGCGTCTCCAAGAACCAGGGCCTGTACGCCAAGTTCGATGATGGCAGCCGCATGGTCGTTCGTCTGTCCGGCACCGGCAGCAGCGGTGCTACTATCCGTCTGTACGTTGAGCGCTACGAGGCCGACAAGTCCAAGTTCGGTCTCACTGCTCAGGAGTACCTGGCTGATAACATCTCGCTGGCCCTTTCTCTCCTCAAGTTCAAGGAGTATGTTGGCCGCGAGGAGCCTGACGTTAAGACCTAAGTTTGGTTAGGTTGTTAGGGTTAATGTGGAACCTGCTGGATGGGGATCACCTTTTAATTGTCTTGCAGTTATATCTGAACACGAGAAGAATGATGATCGAAAAAGCAGGATCAAGTTCAAAAGATTATACGTTGGCATGAGATATAAACTGCGTCTTTAGCATAATCCAAGCCTGACTTGTCTTAAATTTGGACCTCCAGATCTGTGAAGCCGATGAAGTACATGCGTGACCAGTAAACACAAAATATCATAGAATCGTAGCATCGTAGAATCGTAAATCATCAAACCCTTCCACCTAATTATGCCTTCCACGCAGCAGCAGAAACCTTCAGCTTCTCCTCCCACCAGCTCTCCCACTTAACAACCCTCTCCTCCCTCCTCGCCTCCTCGGCCGCAAAAACGACAGCATGACTCCGCACCGCCTCCTCAAGCGAACACCCGACAAACCTGGCTTGTGCCGTCTCAACATCCAATCCCCCCTCAACAGCCTCAACAGCACTAACAAACTGCCTCGCAAGTCCAAAGTCCCCACCGCCATGCGACTCGTTCTGCCCTGGCGGGGGCTTCGGCACATCAAAAACAGATGTCTTCCCCGTAGCAAAATCATAAACAGAAATCGTGCTACTATCATACGAAACCTCACCAGTCGTACCATACACCCGACCCCGACGCTCACATTGTTTCTCCGTGGGCGCAATCATATGGAAACTGGCCGTTTTAGCAAGCCGATGCGGCGCCGCCTCCTCATCATCCCAAACAAACGTCACAACCTGATCGTCACAGACATCATTATCGGCTTCGTAGACGCACCGCCCGTACCAAGGCCGCGCAGCAATATCCGAGTCCGACATCGTATCCCGATCATAGTCCTCGCCAAGACTGGAGAGCAGCAATGACTCGGCAGCCTTGCCGCCTTGCGTCCGGAACACATCTTCGATATCCGGGCAAACAATTTTAACCGGCCAACTTGTGTGACCCGTCGCGAGATGGCGTTCGTTATAGATTTTAACCGCGCTGTAGTTACAGTCACGTTCAGCGGGACAGGAGAGACAGTTTGTAGCGTCGCCTGCGGCGACGGGCTTGCGCTTTTGACGGAACTGCGTCATCGTGCCGGCGGAGGAGATCGAGCGCGGGAAGTGTGGCTTGTGGTCTTCTTTTGATGATGTTTCGGGTGAGGGCGGGGAGCAGAGGAGGCATAGGATGAAGTCGATGTCATGGCAGGATTTTGTGAGGAGGGAGCCGTCGCCTGCGGGTGTTGCGCGTCGCCAGTTGCCCCGGACGTAGCTGTGCGAGAAGTGCCACCAGCCTACCGGCTCACAGTGTTCTAAGGAGACTATGTCGCCGATTACGCGGTCTGTGAGGAGGAGTTTGCGGAGGAGGATGTTATGTGGGCTGTAGCGGAGGACATGGCCGATTGAGAATATGTTCTTTGGAGGTTGGGGGATGTTATTTGGGCCTTCTGGTGGTTGGAGGGCTCGGTATGCTGTTAGACAGTCGTCGAGCGAGAGGGCTAGTGGCTTCTCGCAGAGAATGTGTAGCTGGAGCGGGGCGAGGGCTTGTAGGATCTCGACGTGTGTTTCGTCTAGTGTGCAGATGAAGACTCCGTCTACGCCCACGGGAGTTGGGGTTGTCTCTGTTGTGTTCTCGTCGTTGGGTTGGGTTGCCCGCTTTCGTCGCTCGAGTTCCCACTGCATCCAGTCGCGCCAATCGGTGAATTCCTGGCCCTCTTTGGGAGATTGGGATACGCCCCATATGTATTTCCGTCCGAATTCGCGCCGTTTGAAGGCATGGGGCTCGGCGACTGCGTGGATTACACCCGGTGTTACAGTTGTGACGGCGCGAGCGTAGGCGTTTCCGCGAGAGCCGCCCCCAATGACGAGAAAGCGTAGTTGCTTCGGTGATGAAGACGAGGAGGTGGGAATAGTATCCGGGGGAGGTGGAATTGGCTCTTTCATGTTGGTGGTAGAATTATTGAGAATGCGGGGAATAATTTGGAGCTTTGTAGCGATGGATCTAGAAATATGACGAATAATTGATGGGCTTGACTCTGACAAGACCTATCCTGTTAGAAGCAAAAGAGTAGATATATATATAATCAACAAAAGTTTCGATATACGAGAGGTAACCTTCGAAGTTGCACTGGAGACGCGTTGTAACTGTGGGGGAACGCAACATCAGCAAGATCACCCAGGCTCTGATTGGCCAATATGGCCATATTATATTTGTTCAAGGTCTATCTTGTCTGTCTTTTTACTGTCAATCTCCAACTCGTCCTTGTCAAAAATCATAGCAACCTCTTCCAAAGATCGCCCTTTCGTCTCGGGGAAGAGGAAGTATATGAGACCCAAGAACACTACCAGACAACCAAGAAAGACACAATAATACTTCCATGCAATCGCAGTAAACGCCACTGGGTTGACATATTGGTTAAAAAAACACGCCACAGCATCCACTGAAAGGGTGACAGCAATGCCCTTGGCACGCAGTTGGAAGGGTAGGATTTCAGCTGGATACGAGATGAACAAAGGCGCATAAGCGATGTCGTATGCTCCAAAAAAGAGAAATAGGAGTGGAACCACAGCTATTCCAGCAGCAGGAAGATGTCTTTCGGCGAATAAACCAGCGGCCAGTGTGGACATGGACAGGAAGATGATCATGGCCCCCGTGGAAACAAGCCATAGAATGCGGCGACCGTATCGTTCCGATGCAAGTGCACCGGCTGCCGCAAGGAGGAAGTTCCAGCCATTGAGGCTAACGTTCACAGCTGCTTGGTCAGCTGCCTTGGTAATTCCCACTGATTTGAGAATCGGCGCGAGGTAGTAGGATAGGAGGCCTGCGATACTGTTAATGACAAGATGTTCTTTAGGGCGCTGTGAGGTGCATACCATTTCCAGCCCATTCCTGCATGAGTCCGACTAATACACAGATGGTCAATCGGTGCATATTGCCTCTTGACGAGAAGAAAGTGCTCCAATTCCTGGTATCGGTAATCTCGGCTGTGATTGTGCTGCATATCAAACGGTACTCATACTGGACCAGCTCGTCGTCTGTATCTCCATTCGCATGGTACTTCCCCAGAATAGCCAGGGCTTCATATTTTCTGCCCTTGGATACAAGCCATCTCGGGCTTTCGGGCACAAACATGATCAGCCCTAGGATCTGGAACGACGGATACGCTATTTGTAGCAAACAAGGAACTCTCCACGACCAGCTGTTTGCTATGCCTATGGCTGCATACGTAACCGCTGCCGAGCTAATGGCGCCCAAATTCCAGGATGCATTGTAGAGGGCGGTGGCCGTCTGTCGCTGTCGAGGGTGTGCGATCTCAGTTGCCAGGAGAGGAGCTGCAGTCTGGGTGATTCCCATCCCGATACCTGACAGGATTCTCGTGCCGAAAAAGGCCCAGTGACTTTTTACTGCGGTTTGGGTGATCGCTCCCACGATAATAATGCTGGAACCAATGAAGACACATATCTTGCGTCCGAACCTATCGGCGATATAAGAGGCTGGTGCGAACGAGACCAACGCCCCTAGAGAAGTGGCAGCAATTATCAAACCAACTATATTGGGATTCAGCCCGCCAATGATGGTGCCAACTATGTCATGATCAGCATAAACCTCACAGTATCAAGTTGGAGACATTACACTCAGGCAGCACAAGCAAACTGTTCACAAGATTTCCAATATACCCAGCCGAAGAAGAAGTGCAGAACATGAACACAATACCCATGTTCAATTTACGGAGCCCCCTGTCTTTGATCCAGTTCGGATTTGTGTTGTTCGGTAGGAGCTTGAATGCCTCCATCGGTGGCTCCTTCTCCATTGTATCTGTCTTCATCGTCATTTTGTAAGCTCTCTCAAATGCCGGGCTTGGTGGATAAAGTGAATTCGAATCGTATAGACTCAAGTCTTCAACCTCGTCATGCTCTATACCAGCTGCTTATATCACAAAGTTATACAGAGCAAGGGATCGTCCACATTCTTCCAACCCAACAAACCTCCAGCCTTCCCCGGATGATCCTCGATTGGTTTCAAGATAACTCTGGTGGCTACGACATAAATGCACGGAATGAAGGGAGGAATGCAAGATTCAATCACCCAAACAGGCAATGTTACCAGCACACAAGTCCCACTATCTACGACCACCTCGTCACAGCGCCCAAAAATCATGATCTGCAGCCCAAAAGAACAATGCTATTGTGCGTTATGATACCACCCACTGCCACGGCGATGTGAGACAAATTATCATTCATCGCACTTCCCAAGCAGCGAAGCATACCGATTCCCAAGCCCACAGAACCCCTCACACTGCCCACCAACATCCGTCCCCTTATGTAACACCTCCTCCATGGCCCATGCAACGCGTTCCGCGCCCACTCTCGCGCCCTCGAGATTCGGCGCCCCGGGCCCAAGCCGGAGAGACGCCATGCGGCCTGTCATGAATAACGGCACGTCATCCCGCCACGACAGATCGTTCGTCAAACACGGTAGACCCGACTTGACCTCGATCGGGTATTGATCGTTCATTGCGCGGAGCAGCGGCATCTCGCGCACGTCCGCCCGCGCTCCGGTTGCGAAGTAGATGTAGTCGATTGCGGGGAGCTCTGGGATTGGTGGGTCGGTTGTCAGGGTCCAAGTCTGGGTGGCTGGGTTGTAGTCGTGTGTTTTGATTTCTGTGCATGGGTGGATGGAGGCGCGGTTTTGGGCTGCGTGTTGCTTCACGATCTTCGTGTAGCGTGGTGTAATGCTGCCACCATTCCGGGCGGTTTGGAGCATCTCAAGGCGCTCTGGTGGGGATGTTAGTATTAGCATTTTGATCGGATTAGGGGACTTCTTCTATATACCTTCGTCGGTGTCGGCGGACCAGAAGGCTGCTTTCTCCCAGTTCTTGTACTTCCCCATCCAGGGCAGACTGATATCGAAGTGTTTGACTATTGGTTGAATGAGACATTGTCCAAAACAGTACTTGTCAGGGATGTTATACATACCTTTCATGCCAGACCGCATCAAAAACCACACTTTCGTTACGCCCTTGCGAACCGCCATATCGACAATCTGTGCTGACGACAGCCCCCTCCAACAACGACAACATTGGTCTCCTGCCGCCGCTGGATTTTGTCCCGTACATTGGGACTGGGAAACGATTTGATCTCCGTGCTGTGGCAACATGCTGCAGCACCTTCTTGCTCCGTCGAGGGCTTCCACGGATAAATTTTCGATACACTTGCTCCGCCAGGACCAATGGCCAGGACAACAGCCCGACTATAAAACTTCTCTCCTGTGGATGTCGTAACAGTGAACACCTTTGAGTCTGAGCTATCGGAGAGATAATCATATGAGAGATCTGTGGCCTCGCGCTGCAAGATTTGACCGGGCTCATCCAAGCCATACCGCTGGATAATCGACGAACAATAGACCGAAAAGAGATCTGTGGAAGGCGAGAAATAGTCTTTTCGATCTCGTTCGTCAATCTCAGCTCCGATTGTTCTGCTTGCAAGGATGTAATGTTTAGAGATCTGTTTCAACCACATTCGCAAGGACACAACTTACTGGGTCTTCCCGCCCTGCCTTCTCTTCTTCTTCTTATGCTTGCTCATCTCCTTCCCAACACACCCGGGAATCTCCCATAAATCTGCATCTCTCCCACTCTCCTGCGTATAAGCCAACATACCATCTCGATCACCGGGATCAACATGGAAGAACATCGGGCTGCGGAGCTGTTTAATCTCCAGCGTGCGGAACGCATTGTTCCACCGCTGCATCCATTTATCCCCAGAGCCATCGAGAACTAGAGTTGAGATAGATGATATTGACGATGTTGATGACGCGGATGACAGCGATGGAACAGAAGATCCGGAGTCAGCCGAGCTGCGCCGTTGTCGGTCATCTTGACAAGGGCATCCGCGTTCACTATCCCATTTTGCAGCTGGCACCCCGTTGATCTTGCTGTGTCGGCCTTGAACCAAGCTCATTCGTCCGCTGTGTTTTTTGATCCAGTGGTAGCGCTGGTGTTCTTCGTCTGTGAATACTGCTGAAGGTGTTTCTTCGCTTAGGCGTGCGGCGACGGCGAGGCCGCATGGTCCTGCACCAATGATTATTACATCGCGGATTTCATGGTCTTCTGGTAATTGAGATGAGAACATTTTAGAACTGGGAAGTAGGGTTGGAGTAATGTTGTGTGATGAAGACGTTGTAATTATAATAGTACTTCAGGGCTGAATAGAGTAGTAAATTTGTAAGAACGTACAAGTATAGGACTGATACCTTTCTTTTGTACTCTACTGGCATAGCTTTATTTCTACAATGTCCTCGTGAGTTAGCTATCGAGGTACTCGTCCCCAAGGTCCTTAGGGCATGACCCCATAAAGGGACAGCTTCATACTCCACAATTGACATGACGGATTCTATGGGTTATTAGATTCAATCTTTGAGGACCTTAGGGATATCGTCGATCATGTTAGATTTAATATTTGAATATTTCGGGCGTAACCTTGTGTTGGATCCACATGTACACTACAGAGGGTTGTGAGATTTTCTTGCATTCCAGCTGGGCAGAGGTTGGACTTATCTAAGATATTGAATTATCCCTGGGCATTACACAAGTTAGAGGGTGTAAATTTACTGCTATTTACTATGTAGGTTGGATGACATCTCCATCTACGATATATATCGGATGACCAGAAAGCCAAGTACATGATAAAATTCGGGTGGCCTGGGGCGACAAAACGTATGTTTGAGACTAATATCGGATTTGCCAAAGTGATTTGTAGGGGGTTTTATCTTTTATTGACAAAATTACATTCCGAGGTAGGAGCTACTCCAGTGAAGTTTAGGGCTGTGTACGAAGCGGTATAGCTGCTAGTTATTAGGGGCCAAAACCCACTTTTGTAGGCTGTGTATATTTTACCACAAGCCACATCAAGCGACTCTATTAATGCTATCTGGCCACTTTTTCTACATCCCATCTATCCCAGTCAAATAATCAGAAGATCATGGATACACTAGCACGGCTAGACAAACTTCCCGCTGAGCTGCTAGATGCGATTGTATCGGACTTGAGAGATCGTGATTTGGCATCTCTATTAGCCACAAACAGACAGCTATACTACCAGCTTGACCCAGTCTTCTACGGCAGAGAACATGTCATGAACCTCGCAATGAGCTGGGCGTGCTCGCGTGGAAATCCCCAAGCCATTCGTCGCCTGGTATCTTTAGGTGCATCCCCTAGTGTGGTCGAAGTGAGCACTGGTTCTTCTGGATGTTACATCAGAATACCTACGTTACATATGGCAGCTACCAAGGGACAAAGTGAGACTTTTCGATGTCTGCTTGATATCGGCGCACGTCTTGATCATCCTGATGTGGACAAGAGGGTCATCCGTCACTTCATCAGCCGCATCTGCAGCCCCGCACACGATTGGGCTCTGCTGCGCCTCTATCTGGATGCCGGCCTTGACCATCAGCTTCGTGTAGGAGACTATCGACACCATCCCCCCTTTACCATACCTTTGTTAAGGGTAATCTCCCAATCGGCATCGATCTCTCCACTAGACCCGGTGCGTCTTTTACTGGACCGCGGTGGCAACCCCAATGAGATATTTTCCTTCTATTGCAAACGACTAGTGACTCCCCTGACTGTGGCAATTCGGAAGGCCCGTACAGATGTCCTGGATCTCCTGATCGAGAGAGGAGGAATCATTCATGGACCCCATGTTACCCATATCCTCACTCAGTCTTGGCATATTCCCATCATGGCCGCTGCAGCATACATGTCAAGCCAGGGGACTGCCGTGATCGAACGGTGCTTACACCATGGTGCAGATGTCAACCATTTAACGCAACATATATTCAGTAGATGCTACAATGAATGGGGAAACCACCGATACATGAGTCCTGCGCTCGTTTATGTTGACTCCATTCACAACTGGGACAAACCGACTCATGCCTTGCATCCAGTTGATGGACTCGAATTTCTGGCTAGTCGGGGGGCACGTCTTCAACAGCCCATTCCCGTTCCAAAACGCGGAGATCCCAAACCGCCTTGGTGGATTCGTTCCAATATGTGCCTGGACTTTCTCCTCGAGAAGTGGGGACTAATGAAATTGGCCACGAGTCCAGATTTTCTTCTGACTGTGCAGTATCTGCTCCGACACGCGGCCGATATTGGGACGCTTGCCGAGTCCCTCGCTTACTACGACTATCAAGAAGGGTTTTATACGGACCTACCTGTCCAAGTTTCGGCGGCGTGGCAAGGTCTCTTAACTTATATCCTGGAGGATTTAAAGGTCGACCCTACCATACTGTTGAGTCAGTACGTCCTACAAAAGGGCTTACACATATGCACCAAGTCCCTCCGAGATATTGGCCGCGCCACAATTGAGAGACTCCTGGCGACGGGGGCCAATATCAATGCCCGCATGGAGCCCGGGAACGGACCAACAGCTTTGCATGCACTGTGCGTAGCATATAACAAAGAGCCCCTGGAGTTAGAAGGAAAATATCATTCTCTTTATTGGAGTAAGAACAATGGTCTAAAAGGCACATATCTTGTGTACTTATTAAGTCAAGGAGTCGATCCTTCCATCTGCATTGGTGGTCAAACAGCCAGTGAGGCTCTCCTAGCAAATCAGGGGGACATGCCACTACAGGGTCGCCAAAACATGGTGTCTCTGTCCAAAATTGTGCAGGGCGAGCGCAATTAATCAAAAACTACGCTAGCTAGACATCTAATTCATAAATGAGAGGTTGAATTGTCGGAATTTTGTCCATTTTTGTAGCGATTTTCCGGGACGGGCCAACAATCCCATTTATCACCATCGCCCCATTAGCCCCCGAAAGGAAAGGAGCACAGCGTGAAAAAAAGGTTCGTTAGTAAAGACTGTATCTAAAGCTGGTATCTCGCAAAGTCAGTTCATTTTGTGGAATCCGCGCGTTGACGCCTCTTACAAGTCATTGTGGCTGGGATACTACGTGTATTTTGGTATTTGAGAAAGGGATTGATATGTCTACCAGAAGCTGTGTTCAGCTAAGCTGCAACTATATTGAGAAAAGAAATTGACAGGATAGCCATAGAAGAGATTGAAATGAAGTTAGACCTCTGGAGGCCTCACATTACCTCATTTCTACTATATTAGAACAGAAATAAAGACAAGGAAATTATATTATAAGAAAGAAAATATTTGCAAGGGGGAATAACAAAACACAAAAAGCCACCGAAAAAGAAAAGAGAAAACGAAATATACTCAAACCTCCCAACTCCAAACCCCATAAAACCCCAAAACCTCCAAACCTGCGCCCAACACAAAAACACTTATTTATGCCATTTCTTCTTCGTCCCAGGCTTCGCCCTAGACGCACCCCCCTTCCCTCCGATGCCAAGGATCCAAAGGCCAAACCCACCCCCTCACCCTCTTAGCATCCCTCCTCTCCCCAATTTGCGGCTCAGGAATCCACTTATCCTTCGCCTCCGCCAGAATCCTCTGACGAGTCATCGCACCAGGTCCGCCAACGTTGAGGTGAGCAGAAGGCTGATGTGGAAGCGGCACAGACTTCGAAAGCATCAACAAGAAATACAACCCCAGCCCCGCCGTCATAGCCGGTAACGAATCCTCAGCTGGCTCCGGATCCGAAGAGTCATGATGCGGGGGGAATGACGAGCTAGAAGACGACGAGAAAGAACGCTCGCTGATGGGCGTTGCGAGCAGGGCATCGCGCGAATGTGCGTGCGCGCTTCTCCCAGCACCGGCTGCTGTTTTGAGTGGGATTGAAGCCGCGATCTCTAGGTACCCGAAGTAGGGGACGTCATCGCCGGTGTCGCAGCCTGCTCGCACGCAGACAAGCTCGATCTCGGTGATTATGAAGCCGTAGCGACAGGAGTGCTCGCGCATGCAACGCTGGAGGTGGGCGAGTCCGTTGAGGTATTCTACGCGTCTGTGGGGGGCTTCGTTGCGCATGCCGGTGTTCCAACGATCGAAGCTTTTCACGATGCCGACTAGTCGGCCGCGTGGGAGACCCGCGCTTGTTTGCTCGGTGTCTGAGAGGTAGTTTGCTAGGAAGTGCGGGTGGCCGTGGTTTTTGTGGCCTGTGTTGCGGACGTCTGGGGCGGCGTAGAGTTGGAGGTGGTCTTTGCCTTGGGAGACGGCGAGAGCGGCGTTTATGCGTGGTGCGTAGAGGTCGCGGATTAGACTCACTAGATCGTTCTCGGACTCTGGCGCTAGGCTTGCCGAGGGTACGGGCACGTGTGGTGTGAGCTCTGCTGGGATTTCCGTCTTCAGGAGCTGGATTAGTCGGCTGTCCAGAGAGTCGAATGTCGCCAGTGAGAAGGAGCTCCAGCTGCGCAAGTTGCGGATGTCCCACCAAAAGTAATCGTGTAGGCCGCGAGTTGGAACTACGCTCACGTTGCGGACTAAGTTGATTGGTTGGATTGGTAGGGTCAGGTATGACAGTAGAGTTGTAGACCGTGGGGGCAGGTCTTCATGGGGACTGAGTAAGGCTGGTGAATTCTGGGCAGCCGATCCCTGGCGGTAGTTGTATTGAGGTGTCGGTACTGTCAATGGAGTTTGTGTGCTTGCAGGAGTATGCTGGCCCATTCTTTGGGAGTATGATGAGTAGGGCATGATGTTTGGAGTGACTGGGGTGACTGGGGTGGTCGGGGTCGTCTGAGCATGCATTTGAGGCATATATTTTGGCAGTTCTCGGTATGTGGGATACCCAAATCCAGCCAAACTCGCGACATCGATGACAGATGCCGACACCGAGCGTGAGTGACCCCCGCCTGCCTTGCGCTTGTACGAAGGGGTGATTGTCACAGGCGATGACAGCGCAGAGAGGCTGCCCTGTGTAGCCATTGGCACCGGCGAGATAGGAGAGGCCAATGTCAAGTGGTCCACGACATCGCGCGTGCGACGGCCGATCGATGGCCGTGCCGGTGAGTATGGGATAAATCCAGGCGGGTTCCGTGTATTAGACAGCACCCGAGGGTGACGAATAGGCCCGCCGGCAGACACCGGCTCGATCACGATATCTTGAGGTCGGATCTTAGGCAATAGCTTAGGGCCATGATGATGTCTGGTTGGCGAGGTGGTAGGACTGGTATTTCCAGTCATAGTCGACCAGGGAGATGACTCGCTTGAATAGACGGAAGAGTTGGAGGCATGACGACTATGTCCAGAGCCGATGTATTCTTCAAGAGAAAGACGCGGCGGCGTCGTTGTCCGAAAGCGAGTGGAGTCGACAGCAGACATGATAGTGAAGTTGTTGACTCTAGGTGTTGTCACCAATAGCAATCTATCATAAGAGTAACAAACGAATGAAGCAATCGATATCTTGTTAACCAAGTCGTTCAGAAAGGCATGATCCAGAAGGAGGATGTTTGGATATTAAATGAACATCGACAGAGTCTCAAACAGCCAAGCCTGATGCATATAAAAAGATTGACTGATGAACCCTAGCCGATCTAGAAAAGATGAAACATGGAGAAGAGCCCCATTGCAACGCCTACGGAGCTAGAGAATCTTTTTTTGGGATCCTAGTCTCCGATCAGAGGCGCGTCCACTTGATGAAACACGAAACTGCCGACATTTTGGCTGAAGGACAGGCATGTTGAACAACAGGGCCCTTGAAACTGCCCCTCCGATGGGGTCCAGTCCGGCATAGCGCGGTTTCATCGGACTGTCGCGCGTCAAGATGTTACTATATTTTGCATCTTCTTCAATATCATTCTTCAGATTCCCTAAACTAGTTAGCCTGCTGCAAGTTTCTCACAATGTTCTAAAAACGGCAACAATTAGGTCACATTTCCAGGTAATTAGCGGACTTGTTGGTGATTGTACCTGCCTGAGGACTCGCGGGGTCAGCGGTTAAGGGTTCCAAGAAAGCAAATGGATAAAAATAGCAATCGGGGTCATGGAATGTGTGATTCCAGGGCCTAAACAGGGTAAAAAGACTCTTTGATGGGAGGGTACCTGCTCTAGATGCGCCAGTGGCCGAATGTGATATCGAAGTCAGCGGCTACATGTATGGGATGAGTTTGAAGTACGCGCCGAGCACCGGCGTCATATGCAGTGATTGGACAATTTGATCTTGAAACTGAGAAATTTCCCATAATTAGCAACAATTATGCAGTGAAGTTCATGCAAGAGACATCTGTAAAGAGGTTGAGGTCAAATTGGGGTGATCAACACATAACCGCGCACTGACCCCCCTGGGGTCGTTTCACTGTTAATACATTTTAGGCATTTTAGGCACAAGAGAGTATTTAGAAATTCATCTCATTAATTTGTTTAATTATTTCATGACATTCATTTCATGTGGGTCGAAATGATTAACACCCAACCGAAAGAGTAAAAAAGAAAAAAACGAAAAAAAGGTCTCAAACCCAGTGGTCTATGTACCTTGACAAAACACTCAAAAACGCTCGGGGGAATCTCTCTGAACCGTCTAAACAACACATCGAACGGTAAAGGCAATCGCAGAACATCAAAAACTTTAAGCCTTGATCTCGTACTTGCGGCGGAACATGTCATCCACCTCAGTCAGGTAGTAGACACCGGATCCAATAGTCTCGGTGTTACCAGCGGGCTTGAAGTTCTTCTTCAGGTGGGCGTGCTCACGGAGCTTGCACATGTCATCGTACGCAGCAGGCTCAAGAATAGTGCGGGCATTGAGACGGTTCTGGAGGTCAAGCTTCTCAACCATGTTGGACACATCGCCGACAATCTTGGCGCTGAACATGGAGCTGGCAAGACCGGAACCGTAGCTGAACAGACCGATACGCTTGACCTCCTTGGGGTCGAAAGCGACGTTGCTGAGCAGACTGGCCAAACCGCCGTAAACGGTGGCAGTGTACATGTTACCACACTGGGTGGCGACCTGGAGACCGGGTGTGACACGCTCAGCGAAACGCTTCTTGGTCAAACCCATGAAGGTCTTCTCAACAACCTTGTCGGTAAGGGACGTCTCGTAGTCCAGGTCGCGAAGCTCAGGGGCAACCTCGGCAAAAGCGGGGTGCGAGGGGTTGGCCAGGTAGTCGTTGTAGAGCATACGAGCGTAGGACTTCTGGACGAGCTTGCAGGTAGGGGCGTGGAACAGAATGTAGTCGAAGCGGTCCAGGGGGGAGAGGGACTCGTCGGTGGCACCGTTGGTACCGTTGGTACCGTTGGCCTGAGCCTTCAGGGTCTTCTCGCGGGCGTCGTAGGCCTTGTAGCAGGCATCGACAGCCTCAGTGTAGCAGCGAAGAGAGTAGTGACCATCGACAACGGGGTACTCGCTGGTGAGGTCGGGCTTGTAGAAATCGTAGGCGTGGGTGAGGTAGGAGGCACGGAGACCGGCATCGAAGACGATAGGAGCATCGGGGCCAATGACCATGGCGACGCAACCAGCACCACCAGTGGGGCGGGCAGCACCAGCGGCGTACAGAGCAATATCACCGCAGACCACTACGGCATCACGGCCATCCCAGGCGGAGGACTCGACCCAGTTGATGCTGTTGAAAACAGCGTTGGTGCCACCGTAGCAGGCGTTGACGTTGTCGACACCCTCGATGTTGGTGTTTCCGTGGGGAGCGAACAGTTGCATGAGAACGGACTTGACGGACTTGGACTTGTCCAAAAGGGTCTCAGTGCCAACCTCGAGTCTTCCAACGGACTTGGGGTCGATGTTGTATTTGTTCATGAGGGAGGAGAGAACGGTGAGGGTCATGGAGTAGATATCTGAACCTCAATTAGTTGATTGATCTTGGATCTTTGGAATTGGTGTACATACCCTCACGGTCATCACAGAAGCTCATCTTGGTCTGTCCGAGACCGATGGTGTATTTTCCGGCAGCGACGCCATCGTACTTCTCCAACTCAACCTGATCGACACACTGCAATTGACATGTCAGTATATATCCTAAGGGGATAAGATCCGAGAACACTTACCTGAGTAGGGAAGTAGACCTCAATGGCCTTGATGCCGATGTTTTGGGGACGAGCAGCCATGGTGGGGGTATAGAGGGGCAAGGGAAACACAAAGGGGGGAAGGAAAGGTGAGAGATATGAGAGAAGTAGAAGGTGAAGGTTAATTAGAAAAGAAGCCCAAAGAGAAGATTGAAGGCGATTGATATAAGAATGAAAAGGAGTCTGTGTACTCGGTTCTACCGTGTACGATCTGTCACCACTTATTTTTTTTCTTTCTTTTTTTTTTTTTTTCCAAGTGGGGAGATCTACCCTTTTTTTTAGTGACATTTTGTTATTGTTCCTTTGGGCCGGATAATTAGAATATATGTATTTGTATGAATGTGAAGCTATGTTGTATATGATATGTATAACAACTACGGCGTAGTTGCAAACTTCAAACTTTCAAACTTCTTGAATAACAAATAACAATATGCCAAATAGTAAATAATTCTGTACTCTGGGTACTAGAGGTACTCTACGTGGCACAAAATCCTCTTGTTAAAAAGCTACGGTGTAGAACTGAGTCCATCTTATCGATCTGTCTCCACCTCTCTCAGGTTCAACATTTCCTCTTTGAGATTCTTTTATTAGGGCCATCTTCCAGGCCTCAAATCATTAGTGGAGCAAATCATTCTGGATAATAAAGTGGCATCACTTCGGATGTCGATATTTACTCACCTAAAATCTCTCTATTTGAATTCTCGAGACTCTCCTTTTAATGTTCTAATATCCCTTTCAATGTATTATACCTTTTATCTTTGACGTGGAGTATGTAGCATAATGGAGAACATCTGCATGATGCTGCATTCCCCAAGATCATCTAATACATAATAGAAACTCCCAAATCTATACGGATTGAAAAATGTTCTGGTTAATATATATTGGACATGAAAGAAATGTTTATAAATGCCATGCGTAATGAAAGTTGCCAAGCGTGGGTCACTTTCACTCCGGGGGCGTCTGCCTATCTCCTGTTCTCCTATACAACTCCCATCAAACTCCGGATATACTCACTTATCGGCATATGATGTCGGACGTCGCTCATTTCTCATTTTCCTACAGATCATGATCCTCCGGATCTCCGCACCCGCGCTACACCCTTCTTACGGCTCCCCGGAGCCCCGTATCTCCCACAATGGGCGACGAGAAGTTTGACTATCAGGCTGTCCCCATCCCTTCCTACGCCGAAGCCACCGGCCAACCATCCTCCTCTCGATCCGACCTCGGCGATGAAACAGATGTTGAACGACAGGGGCTACTCGGTCGCGATCATGCCTCCACCCGAGGCTACCACCCACCAACGGTGGAATCGGCGCGCTCCAGCCTCGATGGCCTCGAATCATTGACCTCACGCTCAGATCGAGAGTCGGTGGAGGAATTACGACGGGAACTAGATCAAATGGACGTGGATGATTCGGCATCGGCATCCTTGACCGGACGACCCCCCTTACGACATCGTTTTTCCAAGCAGCTATCGAGTCTGAGCCGTACGCTATCCGCTATCCAACGACCCTTCCAACGATATATGCCTACTTTCCCTAGTTTCCGCTTCACGATAAACCTCAGCGATACGAGGGCACGCTTAAAAGATCAGGGATGCATCATGCTTCTCCGAGTGTTCGCTCTCTTACTAGTGGTCACCCTAGTGTATGTGTTCTTCATCGCAGATGTCTTCAATATAAACAGCCGCATGTCCATGGGCCAGTCCTACAGTGCCGCCTCCGTTGAGAATTTCATTCAAGGCCACATCAATGAGACCAAGATTGCCGAAAACTTGCGACTAGTCACCAACTACACCCACGTAGCTGGCACAGAGGGCAGCTTTGCGATATCACAATTGATTGAACAAGAGTTCCAGAAGGCAGGATTCGATGAAGTGACGCGGGAGGAATTTCAGGTCTACCTCAACTATCCACGCAAGGATGGGAGGAGAGTCGCAATAATCGATCCACCCAGTCTAGCTTGGGAGGCGAAACTCGAAGAGGACAATGCCAAGGACCTGATCTTTCATGGACATTCGAAATCTGGCAATGTCACTGGGCATCTGGTTTATGCTAACTTCGGAGCCCGGGAAGATTTCAAACTTCTCGCAGACAAAGGAATTTCACTCGATGGCTCGATTGCCTTGGTCCGTTACTATGGAACCGAATCCGACCGCGCATTAAAAATCAAGGCCGCTGAATTAGCCGGGGCGGCCGGCTGTATCATCTACTCCGATCCCTCCCAAGACGGATTTATCAAAGGCCCGGCCTTCCCCGAAGGACGGTACATGCCAAGCGATGGCGTGCAACGGGGCGGTGTGAGTATGATGTCGCAGGTAGTGGGCGATGTTCTCAGCCCCGGATGGGCATCCACGCCGGGAGAAAAGCATCGTCTATCTCCCGAGGAGAGCCTCGGTCTACCCAAGATTCCCAGTCTTCCACTCGCTTGGCGTGATGCACAGAAGCTTTTGCAGGGCCTCAAAGGCCACGGCTCCAAAGTACCAAAGGAATGGGTGGGTGGTGTTCCTGATGTACAAGAGTGGTGGACTGGTGACCAAGACTCCCCGGTCGTTCATTTGATGAACCTACAAGATGAAGTAGAACGGCAACCTATCTACAACATTCACGGCAAGATCACTGGAATGGACGAGCGTGACAAGAAGATTATTGTTGGCAACCACCGAGATTCGTGGTGCACGGGAAGTGTTGACCCTGGAAGTGGCACTGCTACTTTCCTAGAGGTTGTACGAGCCTTTGGCGAGTTGCTCACCTACGGATGGCGGCCCCTTCGCACCATTGAATTTGTCAGTTGGGATGGAGAGGAGTATAACTTGATCGGCTCAACAGAACATGTCGAAAAGGAGATCGCCGATCTCCGTGCGAATGCGTTTGCCTACCTAAATGTCGACGTGGGTGTTTCTGGGCCCGATTTCCATGTGTCTGCTTCGCCCGTTTTTGAGCGCACCGTGCTGCAGGTTCTGGGTCGTATCTCAGACCCCTATGCGAACGCGACACTGAAAGACCTTTGGGATCAAAAGGGCTCAAAGATCACTCCGCTTGGCGCTGGAAGTGATTACGTTGCATTCCAGGATATCGCTGGCACCTCGAGCATTGACTTTGGATTTTCGGGCGAGCCCTACCCATACCACAGCTGCTACGAAACATATGACTGGATGGTTAATTTTGCCGACCCCGATTTCCAATACCACAAAATACTGGCTCAATTCTGGGGGCTTCTCCTCCTTGACCTTTCGGAGAACCCCATGCTGCCATTCGATTTGGAAGTTTATGGCGACTCCATTGGCGGATGGGTCAAAGACTTGGACAAATTTGCCAAATCAAAGAAGGCCGAGGTGGATATGCAACCCATGTTCAAAGCTGCGACCGAGATGAAAGCCAATGCTGTTACGTTCCAGTCATGGAACAAGATCTGGCACGATACTGTGTGGGGCATGGGAGGGTATGAAAGCAATGTCATGGCAGTCCAGCGGGTGAACCATAATGCTCGAATGGCTGCCTTTGATACCAATCTACTTGATTTGGAAGAAGGCGGAGGTGTAAGTTGACGTTCTGCCCATCCCTCAACCCTAGCTAACGACTTGTACAGATCCCTAACCGCACACAATTCCGACACGTCATCTTCGGTCCAGAGCTGTGGTCCGGCTACGACGCCTCGATCTTCCCTGCTATCCGCGACAGCATCAACACCGGGAATTGGACATTGACCCAATATTGGATCGATCGGGTCGCCAAGACCATCCACCACGCCAGCGATAAGCTACTACACTAATGTATTCTACCTTTCAGCCCCTTTCCTATTTGTCGCTCTTCTCACCCACGCTTCATCCACGCTTATCGGATTGATTCTTTTGTGTTCTAAACGAGCACTGTACAGCCCGACTGCCACATTGTCGGGATACCTCTATACCTGGATTTTGGGAACTTCTTTCACACCCATCATATACCTGCATGTCTTGAGCTCACGGGACTTGGCATATTGCTCTGTCGGTTCCATTAGTCGCTTCATCCCCGCTTTTCTTGAATGTATCTAGCTTCTCATCCTTGTCCCGAGGGACCGGCGTTCATATGGGGATATATCACATTTCGTATCTAGCTTTTAAGAGGGTTCTCAACCTGCCAGTCCGCATGGTTTGCTCATTCCAAGTGCTCAACCCCTAGGGTAGTACTTACTTTTTCAGAAGGAAATATTTTGTCTATCTAAAATTCAGGTGTTGCAGAATCTTCTTTCAGAAATTTACGCCTTCATTTCTCTGTAAAACAAGCCTTGGGTTTGTCGTATTGTTTGGTGTATTCCCATGATTCTATGGTCTAAATATATCGACCAAGCATAAAACCTTTCACATCAGCATCGCACCCCCTTGGCAGCCCTAATCCTGCCAGGACCTTCATTGGTCCAATTTCTTTCCATGCATCCAGCTGGTCATAATTCCAGATATAAACTGACCCCATCATTCCAGCCCCATTTGCCGTGATACCGTGAAATTCCTTAGCCCGTCGAGGAATGACCATCATCCATCTCCTCGTGAAGATGAAGTTATGGGGACAAGGGACGTCCTCCGTCAGCAAGTCTAGCGCCTCTCTCGCTTGTTGCAATATACGCTGGTAAGTCTAGCAGGTGCTCGCCATTCTTCACGCCCCCGGGCAAGTCCTCAAATCTTTGTAGAAAATGCAAAAGAAGCTCCCGTCGTTGGTGCCGTATCATCGTCTGGAAAAAAACTTGAATCCTTCATCGTATCCTTCACGCTTGCCTGGCGCTGGAATAACCTGTAAATGCTTATGCTCCCTACTTGACCCCGCTAGAACTGTACAGTTGAAGAAAACATAACGTACTTCCTTTAATCCACAGATCGTACTCCATGCAGCTTCTATGTCTTCAAGAACAAGAGGCTGCCAAGTTTAGAACAGATGGACAGAGGATACACATGGCATGCGACCACAAAATATCATACTGCTATAGACGAAAAAGTTCCAAACAGCCTCAAATTGTCCACGCTATAGTACCTATATGGAAGGGGCTATGCTGTATCATATACGGAGTAGAGCCACCCTAAAATAATAGCACGCCCAGCTGCTTTTTCGCGAGCACAAGGCTGTGTTCTTCATTACTAGACCCAATTCTAAACAAAATAGCTACATACATGGGTATAACAGCACTAGCGCTTACAGCACATGAATGGACAAGTTTGATCTAACGAATGAAGAAGCATTGCCGGTTGATTTTCCACTTTTGTAGATACCATCACCCGGGCGTCTCGTATTTTTACTTAGGCGCAAGCATGCCCATGTGGGCTGAGATAGGATAAGATCATCAATAACACCCCTCTTATATGCTGCTTCGAACAATATATAGCCTTTATTCCTAATAGTTGGATCATAATTTGACTTGGTTTTCCTTTCTAGAAGTCATGACTGAGAAAGATCTCCTTAATCTGGCCGAGACTGGAGACTTGTCCAAGCTCTCAAAGCTTGAAGCTACACCTGTGCACACTGAGGTGGACCGCCGACCAAATTCAATATCGCAAGACGGTATACGTCGCCATGCTGCGACTGCAGATATTAGTGTCAACGATCTGGATTTTGATTTCAACCTTGCCACAGACCGTTATCCACTAGTTAATCTCAGGTCTCTCCAGCAAGTCTTTGATGCTGTGCAATACCATCGGCATTTGGAACGGGAAGAGAACTTTTCGCCTACAACTCATGTGGAATGCTTCAAAGCTGATTCGCAGGGAGGAGGTAGGTCACTGCATCATATAGCTTCTGTTTTAGAGGCTGATATCATGTCAAGAATGGCGAACACTTGACGAGGCCAACATGGATCAACTCTTACAGGTGAGGCTTACCAACCCCATACTTGGAATTTGACGGCTAAATATATCGAAAGTCCTATGCTATCAACCCCTCCCCAACTATTAAACCCTGTCTTAGGCGTACTATGCTCGTTTTGTTAGTGTTTCTCCCCCGTTCTGAATCTCATACTGACTTGTCTAGCTTTTGTTCCTTGGTTCCTACAGAGGGTACTTCATTCGGCTCACGCGTTCCAATGACCCAAAGAAATGCCAAGCAACTCCTCGAGACATTACAAGTCAATCCTTTGTTTGTGATGAATATGATTGGTCGGCCAGATTACTGGGCCCCCCAAACGCATTGGGAGGAAGATGATGACGGGAGGTTGCTAGCTTGCGGTAAGAGCAGAAGCATCAGATATCAAGACACCAAACGCTAATATCACAAAGATCTTTTTTGCCAGCATCCCCGTTGGAACCTCCAAGCTCAAGGAGCTCCGCTATCTGTTTATGTGCGCCATGACATTACTCGGGACTTGACAACATACATCATCTCGCATAAAAAGTTCGATACCTCCATCAGCACACTCAAATCTATACTGAAAATTGCACTAAATGTCACTTCCCCAGTAAAAAAGCCAGCTGTCTTCTTGGATGATCCATTTGACATCCACACCATTCTTTCCACACTTTCTTTCGAAGCTTCTAAATTCCACGTCAAGCGTTTCCAGCGGTTCATGTGGACGCAGATGAACAAAGTTGAAGATCACCTTGTAGACCTCAAGTTTAGTGATAGCGCTAAATTCGGAGATTTATCAAAGCAGCTCCAAATCATGGCCTCAAATGCAGATTCACATATCGCCAATGCTGATGTAACAATCATCATGGCCAAAGCCATTCAAAATGCCCACTCACGTCTCAGCCCCTTGCTCCGTCAATCCAACCCTTTTATGAATCAGCGAGCCGATGAGTCGATATCCTATACTATCTCCTCCTCGGAGAAAATAAAAATGTGGTTCTTGAACTACAAGCAGCGCAAAGACAGTGCCATGCTCCTGGCTCACAATCTTGCGATGCGGCAAGATGCCATCAACAACATGCAGATCGCTCATAGCATGAAGCGAGACTCTGCATCCATGAATGCAATCGCTGCTTTGACAATGATGTTCCTGCCAGGTACCTTTGCAGGAACGGTGGTTGGTGCAGGAGTTTTTGGGGGTGCCATCAAAGAGACAGTATGGCTAATTTGGGCCGCAATTACAGTACCGCTCACGGTAGGAGTCATGATTTGTTGGTGGTTGTATAAGAAGCAAAGCAGCCAACAGCTAAGGGCAGCATAGCGAAGAAAGACATGGCTGATTCCGCGGAGACGAGGAGGAGTTCGTTTAGGAAGAGGTCCAGTGTTTTTTCCAGTGGCTTTTCGTTTCGAAGATTCAAGACCGGTATAAGTGAATATATGTAGTTTAGTCTATTTTATGGTTCTTCTTGTTGCACGGGTACATGACATCAAATGAACTGCCTTCTAGCCCTATCTATATGGTACTCACGCATGGGTATCATAAAACATCATATTCCACCAAACTAAACTGGAGGCAAAGAAGGCTCAATCGCCAACAAAGACGGGTGATCCGCCAGACTCTGCCAAAACCCAGCCTCGAAATCCCACAGATCCTGACTCAACAGCGCCGCCCACTCATCATTCCCCTCATTTCCAGCCTGTTCAGGCAGAGGCTGCGCCGGGTCCGAATGAGTCGAGTCTAGAAAACGCTGTATAGTCCGCGTAGCCTTAGAAAGCAATGCGTAATTCGGATCGCCGGCTTTAACAATTGTCCCGATCTGCACCTCCGCTACAAACACACTGAGATCTTGTAACGTCCGTGTCCGGTGCGCTCGTGGCATGTGCTGTTTCAGCATTGCCAAAAGCATTATCCCCGCTGCGGGGAGACCGTAGTATGCAACCTAGTTGGTACGTATATTAGTTGACTGCTTGTTTTATAGACAGAGTATGTTATATAAAAATCAAGTCAATTTCATGCATACCTTCCAAATAAGACCCGTCCCCGAATTAGTGAGCTGATCCCGCAGTAAAATAATTTCCACCACCAGCGTGAGCATCTGACCCGCCGTCTCGATGATCGGTAGATCGGGCTCAGTCGGTGATTTAAGAAGCAAAAGGCGGAGCAAGAATAGCACATGTAAGTGGTGCAGTCGTACGCCAGCGACGAAGTCTCGCTCAAAGGGTCCTTGTGTACATTGCTTCAGACTGCTCTCGAGTCGGAAGTGGGCTGGTAGGTTTTGCCACTGTCTCTCTGCTTGACATTGTATCACGCTGTGCCATTTCTTAATTAGCCATGGTATCCACTGAGACGGTGCGGGTGTTGCGTTTAAATACCTTGCTCGTTGTGCACATGACGGATCATGCTTGTCCTGAAGAAGCTCCCAGATCTCCTCCTTCAGCGATGCGCACAGCGCAGACCACCGCGTATCAGCCCGGTACCCGGACTCCGCGTCTGGAGCCCAGTCTGCTGAGCCTTCTTCTGCGTTCCGGCAAGACGGGATCTGGAAGTGGCAGAAGCGTTTGTTCATTCGTGGTGGGCGGCCGAGGAATATTGCTATGTTCTTGTCTGCGGAGTAGATGCGCGCGAAGGCTGTTTTGCGCAGTTCTTTCAGGAATCGCGGGAGTCCTGGTTTTATTTCGATGTTCTCATGATAGCCTAGGGCAAATGTTGAGGATATTGCGTCGCCTAGTTTGCGCCAGGAATGGTAGCCTTCGAAAGGTTAATAGATGGCTCAAGTAGAGGTAGTAACTGCGGATGGGCCGGTAACTTACTCTGATCTCCGTCCACGTAGGAATGGACGATAAAATTCTCGTATTGCATGATCAGCTGTAGATCATTTAGGCAATCTAGAGAGAGTGATATCTCCAACGCGAAGTCACAAAGTTTGGTACATAGTCTTCGGAGTGTGTACTGCTCTTGCGCAGTCATATATAGAGACGGGAAGAACGCAATGTCAATTGTCGCTCGACTGACAGCGGCAAAGAATATCCCCAATGTCTCCCAACGAGAATTGTGATCTAGAAATTGAGCCGAGAAACTAGCTAGGTCAGAGGTATCATTGAAATGCAGCGGCTGGGCCGAGTTCTGCAAGAGTCGCCTTGCATAGACTAGATGCCAGTTTTCGTCGTGATAAGTGAACAGTTGGCTCACACTCTGCGCACATTGGTCAACAAAAGGCTCTGCTAAGGCTAGGTTGGCTCCTTTGGCTAGCCAGAACATGACGAGGTCTTTCATGGCAGACAACTTGTATGTTGTCAACAGATGTTTGAGGATATCTGCGCCTTGTAAGACCAGATGGTTGTCCCCGAATAAGTCCGAGTGCAGGTCCTCTGGTACTACTTGATGACTACCAGGGCCATGGTCTCCATCCGGAGTAATGTGCTTGAATATAGCTGCATGGCTAGACGACCCTAGATACCCAGGGTTTGGGTATGGATTACGTCTTGGATTAAATGACGGTGATTCATCTGGTGAGCCAAGGCTGCAAAAATATGATTAGCCAACTCGAATGCAGGCCAAGCAAGTATAAAACCGACCTTTGTTTCTCGACCCTTTTCCGCTTAAAGGGCGTGGTTCTGTAGATGCAGATCCCTTTGCTGGTACTACAACGCGTGCAGACAGGCAGTTGGTGATCGCATGCTAGCTTAGCCTTTCTACAGGCTTCACAGGCAGCCAGACGTGACATGGCTGGTCTGGCGGAGTTTCGTCCGCCAGTGGAGATAAAGAAGAGTGAAGTCGGCTAACAACGGCGAGATCGGAGTGTCGGAGTGTCGGCGTATCGGCGATAAGATGCGGGGACCCATCTATAAATACTTGTCTTTCTTCTTCTCCAACTTCAACATCACATTCATTATGACTCAAGATATTAAGCTCGCAGACTACTTGTTCACTCGGTTGCGCCAGCTGGGCGTCGACTCCATGTTCGGCGTCCCTGGGGACTACAACCTTCGCCTATTGGATTTCGTTACACCCGCTGGCCTCCACTGGGTGGGCAACTGCAATGAACTCAATGCCGCCTATGCGGCAGACGGATACGGTCGCATTAAGGGCCTGTCTGCATTGATCACTACCTATGGCGTTGGCGAGCTGTCCGCTATCAACGGTATTGCAGGCGCCTATGCCGAGAACACACCCGTGCTACACATTGTCGGAACCCCACCACGCCCGCTCCAGAGCGCACGCACGTTTATGCACCACACTTTTTCAGATGGCGACTACCGTCGCTTTGCAAACATGTCAACACATGTCACTGCAGCCCAGGCCAGGCTAGAAGATGCTGCCACAGCGCCCGAAAGAATCGACTATGTCCTGCGCCAAGCGTTGATCCACAACCGACCAGTCTACCTCGAGTTCCCCGATGATATGCCCGATGTGCTGGTGTCAGCTGCCAACTTGGAAACAAAGATCTGTATCCCACAACCACCAAGCTCCGCCCAAGAGCCACAGGTGCTGGCTCGCATCTTGGAGAGAGTGTACAGCGCCAAGCGTCCATTCATCTTCGTGGACGGAGAAAGCACAGGTCTCGGTATCGTCGACCAGCTCGATACCCTGATCAAAGCAACCAACTGGCCCACATGGACAACCGTGTACGGCAAGGGCCTAGTCAACGAGCAGCTGCCAAATGTGTACGGATTGTACGCGGCAGCCTTCGGCGACAAGCCAGCGCAGGAATACTTCCAGGAAGCAGACCTGGTCTTGACATTCGGACCGCACAACAGCGATACCAACACATATTTCTATACATCAATCCCCAAGCCCGCAGTGGCAATCACATTCTCGGGCAGCACCGTCCAAATCGAGAATGATACATACCATGACCAATCCGCCCGCAACATATTATCAAACCTACTCCAGAGCCTCGACTCAACACGCCTAGTCAAGGCCACCGGGCCTCCGAAACAAGAAATAACCCTGGCCAACATCCAGAACACAGACCCACTCGCCCAAGACAACTTCTACCGCCTGGTAAACCCGCTCTTCCGGGAGGGCGACATAATCCTCACCGAAACAGGCACCGCCGCGCACGGCGGCCGGAATTTCAAACTGCCTGCCAAATCCCGCATCTTCGGCGCAGTGACCTGGCTCTCGATTGGATTCATGCTCCCGGCAACACTAGGCACAGCGCTAGCGCAGCGCGAGCACAACAAGGTCACAGGAAGTAAGAGCCAGACGGTGTTGTTCATCGGCGACGGGAGTCTGCAGATGACGGCGCAGGAGATCAGCGTGATGATCCGCGAGAAGCTGAACATTATCATTTTCATCATCAATAACGACGGTTACACTATCGAGCGGGTGATCCACGGGCGCAAGCAAGTGTACAACGATGTGCCGTTCTGGAGACACGCGCAGGCGCTGAACTATTTCGGCGCTGATGAAGAGCATGCGGCGAATAACACCTTTACGGCGAGGACCTGTGGCGAGTTGAAGGATGTGCTTGCCAATGAACGGATTCAGAATGGGTCTGGGGTGAGGCTTGTTGAGGTGTTTATGGATAGGGAGGATGTACAGGGGGCTTTGCTGTATTTACTGAACAAGCAGCTTGATGAGGAGAAGCAAGCAAAGCAGCAAGAGTAGATTTAAAATGAGAGATGACTTGTTACATAGAGAAAATTATATGTATATATTTTTACTACGGTTCCTTTGAATGGTAGTTTTGATCAAATCGAATGATGTCTTACTATGATTATTGCGTGTTTCGCTCCTAGTACACGAAAATGAGAAATCCTTGGAATAACAAAATCAGGCTAAGTGAACGCCGATTCCCTATGCTCCAGATCCGCCATGCACACAGAAAATAGAAGAAACGAGAAAGAATGACCCGAAACATTATTGTAAAACAGACATCTGTTTGAACATGTCACGAGGAGTCTATAATTGATCTGTGTTGCTGAGAGAGGGTTACTCTCATGTTGAATTATTTGCGGAAGCTCTCAACCCCCAGGGTTGGGGTTTCCACCATGCGATCAGTGGGGACACCCTCGTCACGACGACGGGCGAAAAAGCTATCGCATTCGGAGACAATGTGTGCCCACTCCGCGAGGGCGCGGCCTGCATATTTGCTAGGCACAAGATGGTCGTAAGAAGGCTGGGAAGGAAGTTCGGGTAAGGGGGAGTTCTTAGTTGTAGGTGTTCGCGGCCAGGTATCTGAGGTAGGTTGCGTGGGGGTATCTTGGTTGGTGGTGGGAATTTCTGGTTCTTGTTCATCATTCTCGAAGTCGGACTGGCCCGGATTCTCTGAGGCTGTGTCATAATCCGACTTGTCAGGAGAGCGCCGATGCTCAACGTGCAATTGTGATGCGACAGGGAGACAAGGGGTGAAAAGACGCTTGTTTTTGGTGGGCCATTGTGGGCGATCCATCCATTCCAAGGAGAATTTGAAAAAGAATGGCTGGTGGGGAGCTTTGGGGCGGATGATCTCCTCCATACTGTTGACCGGAGTGTGTTCGTGTTCATCCATACATTTGCTATCAGCAGTCATTGTTGGATCTGATACGCCATTCTCAGAGTCATCAGAACTGCTGCTGCTGACACCATCGCCGGAACGTGCGTTGGAAGAGCTGCCAAACATAGCCTTGAGTATTCCCCATCGCTTTTTAGGTGGTTGACCATCTGAGCCATTGGAGTCGGAAGATCCGGTTCGACGGTGTGACATAAGTTGGTCCGAAGAAACGGGTGGAACGACTCGGTCGAAGCTGACAAAGAGATTGACAGGAGACAGTTGATTTTCGCATCGGATAATGATGATTCTTCGTCCTGGGGCCGGTGTACAGGGAGCAGAGGACAAAGGGGCTGTCATGTTCTCCTCGGCCTTAGACTGAAACCCGATGTAATACTCCCAGACTCGTAGGAGTCGATCTGAAAGAAGTTCATAGGTGTTGGAGTCGAGTGATGAGGGTTCAGTATTAAACCGCCCGACCCTCCAACACAACAAACGATGGAAATAGGCTCGCACCATTGGACTCCAGTGAGTGAAGTAGTGGTAGAATACTGGCTCATGCAACAAGAAATCTAGACAGACAGATGCTTTTCTTTCTTCTGCAGCAGTCCAGGTACCCCAGACGCAGAAAAGAAAAGAAAACACTCGCACCTCAGTGAGCGAATTGTGGCTCTGCATCATTTGGCGACAAACGTCGAGCCAAAAGCCCCAATCAAACAATTCCGTTTCAATCGACTGGGCATAACGTGTGATGATTGGAATGACCTCCTCGAGGAAGTCACACAACAAAAAGCATGCGTTATGATCAAAGAGAGACATTTTCTGCGCTGCAGATTTGATAATGCCACAGAAGGATTCGGCAAAAAGTAATCGAGCACGATTCGGTTCCACAGACGATTCAGATAGGAGGTCTCGGAGGAGGATGATCAAACGATTCTCTGCCATAGACCGATGAGTGTTGCTGCCACTTCGAAGTTGAGTGGAGGCAGAAGCATCCGGTGACTCGATGAAATCATCGAAGGTGATTGCAGCCGCTGTGTGGGGATTGTCGGACCCCTGTTGTGCCGATTGCTTGTAGATCGTGTCCTCCAGCACCAGCAGGAGTTGCGCATGAACCATCAACAACCCAGGTGCTAATATCCGTTTTGTCTTTTCAGTTTCTGGAGGCAAATACTCGGCATACAGAATGTGAATGTATTTAACGAAGACAAAGAAGAGATCCGTGTCACGTCCAGCCCATCGTGCGACCCAGGGGCGATTCCAATTAATAGGAGTGGTGTTCAAGGGTAGCTCGGGTTTCTGGCGTAGATAACGCAACAGAGGTGCTTGTGAGTGGAACGCTAGGGGACGGAGGGCCGGTGGAAAGCACAGAGCAAGTTCTTGCGTGTATGCACGCGTGTTTCCAGTTCGTGACCCGGCCGATTCTGACAAGATGCGTCGGAACATATTAGGAGGCGTGGACCACAGGCGAACCAGGATCTCGGGCACCCCAGGACAGAAGAAGAAGGCATACGAGCAAACCTTGCCGCAAAAGGCGACCAGGCTAGCTGGTGCATGTCTCATGGACATTCGTTCGACCACAAATGCCATTTGAGAGAGCAGGTTTTGGATAAAGATGTTCCGGATGTTGTGATGAATCGATTCAACCAGGAAATCCGAACCCGAGGAGCCTGAGCCATCCGATGTTTCCGACACCGAAGTTGACGCGTACTTTAATGAATCCGCAGGTCCACTGCCATTCTGGGCCAAAGGGAAGGGGATGCGCCATTCCGGTCGAGCCATGATTCCCACCACAGCTTCCAGAAACACTGGTCTGTCGGTTCCCGAGATCGACTGGTTATGCTTGCCGTTGAGCATCTCCAACATTCCAATCCACCATTTGTTGAGAATATTGACTCGACGATCCAGATCTTCTGGTCTGAGGTTCTTGCATGATGTGTGGAGGTGATGGCGGCTGAGGAAGGGGAGGAGCGAGGTACGGATGACGTTGGCTTTCAGCGAGCTAGATTTGGCTTGAAATCTTTTTCTGGTCAATAATTGTAATGTGAATGGCTAAGGTGATTGCACATACTTTTGGAAATCCGCCTCCAGGCCCCGAAAGATACCCCAAAGCTCATCCTTTTTGCGTGCATGGTCAGTACCGGCATTCGCATACGCCGCGGCAGTTTCTGCGGCTCCCTTGGGCATAGGTGGTAAGACCGGGGTCGAAACCGAGAGTGATGCTGTGAACTTTTCAAATGAGGACCGGTGCCGTAGCGAATTGCCAGATGGACTGCTTGGAGAGCCGGGGCTGTCTTCGGTGCCCTTGGCCACAACAGCCAGCATTGGCCGGCGCGGGCGTTTGTAGAGAATCGTGCGCCTGCGGGAGGGAGGTTGAGGCTGATCATCTTCTGTTTTTCGACCGCCGAATCGAGTTGGGGATTGAGAATCTTGCTGCTTAGATCTTTTCGCTGATGGGGATGGAGACCGGGAGGAAGAGCCCCACGGTTTCCTCGCAAGGCTGACTATCCTTCCAGACATTGATCGGCTCTTGGATGGTCTCACAGCGGGCTCCGGCGCCCGAGTTTCGGGCACATGTGAATCTGTATCCTTCAAATCCTCCGATGACGACAGTGTGAAACGTGAGACGGAGGCTGGCTTCGGCTTGTCCTTGGAGCGAAGAGAGGTTCGGCGAAGAATGTCCTTCCCGGCATCCACGGTTTCCTTTGTCGGTGACCCCGCCAAGCTTGGAACAGCATAATCAGAAAATGTACGTCTTAAGCTGGGTTCTGTTGTAATTTGACTGGGAAGATCGGTGTAGCTGGCGGCACGAGAGAGCTCGGGGGTTTGGTCATCGTTCGTGTAGCTCGGCGTCTCGGAGGGCGAAGACATTGTCTAGGGAATAAAAAAAAAGCAAATTGGTTATCGAGGGGAGTTATTGGTTCATTTCCCCTTAAATCTCAAGATTCTGAGCGTAGAAGAGACCAGCTCCTCTGTGCACCAGGAGGTTCCGGGAGGTCGAAGTAGTCAGGCACGCTGCATCTGGAGAAGAGCAAGCAAGGCACAATCACAATGCTGAAACACCGACTTGGAGTAATGAGCAACAGAAGAAGAGAGAAATAATCAGGAATAACGGAGTTTGGGGTGGATAGAACGTCTATGCAGCTTAGAAGCCACTCTGATTCAGCAAGTGATCGACGGGGGAATCTCCCCCAAGGGCTTTTGAGTCCGGGCAAAAGGGTGGGGGGGAAGTGAAAGGTAATATCAAGTGAGGGAGAGAAGGAAAAAAAAAGAAATTGGAATAGTTCCAAGGGGGAAGCTGAACTTCCCAATATCTACCTGGTACGTGTGTCTCTCTATTTTTATTTTGGCTAATTAAACTCGAGACAATTTGAACCTATTATCATCTCTTGATTCTCTTCTATAATACGAGCAACATTTATCTCAATTTATATTAAATCAGACGTTTCTTTCTAGCTGAGACAAACCAAGACTACACATTTCCTTGTACTCCACCCTCTTTTCTTGTAACCATCATGGTCGCGTAATAATCTCATGTCAGCTCGAGAGTCTCTCTGCATAAGTTCGTAAAAGACATTGGGCTCTTCGGTCCCAATTGCAAGGTATCTCTATCTACAGGCAATACGACCCAATCGTATCCTCTCCGGAACATAAAAAGGGCAGAATTCACCGAGTGGGCTATGACAGCTGTACAATCCGTACTTTGTCCCGATCCTCGTATCTCATTCTTGGTCATGGAATGTTAGAATGTCGCGCTGTGATATACCTTAATTCTCTATGATTTTCGCATTCCTTCATTATGTTATTTTCCAATTCAATACACATAATGAACAACTTTACCTTTTTACAGGTCAAATTAGTTCCCAAGTTATGCATTTTCATTATCTGTCATAATCTGCCTTGTGGGACGCTTAAATCGACTTGCCGAGATAGCCTCATAAATGGCGTTATATGTATTCCCAGGTACCATACTTCATGTTTTTTTTTTCTTCCCCATTTAGACGCATCTAAGAGTTCCCGTGCCCTATTAACACATGAATCACATTGCACAGGCCCTCGGTGAATTTTTTGCGCCCCCTGCTCGGAAAGTCAAGCTGAATGGCTTAGGGACTAAATATGCAAATCATGGTACAATAGTCGGATAGTTTTGTCTCTTTGGATTTTATTTCATTAGACTTTGGCTTTAGCTTTGTTCCTGGTTGATCCCTCTAGGGATGTTGATATCGAATTATCCCAGTTGCATCTGATAGTTCAGTCTGATACATCACATCAATTGTAATACTTTTATGAACTTCTGGTCTGTTCGTTACATGTTGATCTATCGCTTGCGGCAGTGGATCCCAATAATTAGAACCAATAGTTCCCTTATATGGACTTCCATCCGTAAATCTTATATACTTCTGAGGTCTGACCAGGTACGGAGTACTCCGTAACGGATGACGGATTGCATGACCATGACAATAAGCCTGCTTAAGCCATGCATAACACATTTTGTCAGCCGTCCCATTCCATCTTCCACCAAGTTATCTGTTTGGTTCATCTTGCCTATGGACGACAAGCGATCGCCTAACTACGGAGTGCTCACGGGTGAGACCGTGGACTAGGCTCGATATACCAGTCATTAATTACCCACAGCTCTTGTCAGCATGGTTGATGGAGGTTCAATTTCCTGTACTGCCTTTGACGTTTACTGCATCACGTCAACTATACAGGTCAACCATCTAGATATCTTCCACGTTGTATACAAATTGTTCTTGAATACTACATCTGAATACTACAAACCCCGCTCTTCACCCGCTCTCCATGTCCATGCGAAAAGCTGAAGATAACACGAATGACCCTAGTCTGAAGTGCGTCTGTTGCACTCATCGACAATCTTTGATATCACCCACATCGCTAGCCCTTCCAGACGGAAAACCTTTACTCTGTAGTCCTGCCCCAGGCAAACGCAGAAAAGGTGAGAACCAAGGAAAAAGAAGTCTCAACGTTCGAAAATGTGGTCTAATTTACAAGCTTCAGGACCTCGAGAGGCGGCCACATTAGTTGCGTCACTGGCACTTAAAGCCAGCCTTCCCCCCATATCTCCCCAGACCTTGCTAAATGAAAAAGAAAGGGTAATTTAGTGGGCAGCGGGAGCCTCCTCTTCCTCCTCGAACCAGCTCTCCTCGACGGGGGCGGCCTCGCCAGCGGCGGCCTGGCCCTCGACCTCGACCTCCTGGCTCTCGTAGGCGGACAGTTCGCTGGCAAGGTTGGCCTCCTCGGGAGACTTGGGGGCCTTGGGGGCGGTGAACTTCATGACGTGCTCTTCGGCATCACCAGCCTTGATGGGGGTGGGCTTGTAGGCCTTGAGCTCGCGGAGGTACAGATCCTGGACGGGGTCGGCTGCGGCGGGTTGCGGGTTAGCGATGGTGCGACCGACGGATATAGTAGGGACATCTGTATCATATGGAAGATATCCCCCGGGTAAAATACGTACCCTGGCGGACGGCGGAGGTCAGGAAAGTGCGGCGAGCGACCGAGACCTGTGCCCGAGAGGCACGGGAGAAGAGGGTGCGCTGCTTTCGCGTTAGTTGAGGGTCAAAATAGACGGTTGTCACTCAATCAACACTCACCGAGGCCCGGAGAGACTGAGACATCATCTTGATTGAGGGTGTGGATGAGGAGTGAGGGGTGGTTCTCAACAGAATAGGTCTGATCCGTCTTTCCGTGAAGTTGGAGGTTCAAACGACTTCTGTTCGGAAAGGTTTCTTGGCAGATGACTCAGCCGGGCCATGTTGTTCCCGAATCTTTCCAGGGCTTCAACATCATCTGCATTTTAATATAGAAACAAATAATCGACGACATTTCAATTTATTAATGAGAAGTGAGGGTTTTAAGCTATATACGAGCATGGGCAGTGTGCTCCTGAGAGGAGGGGACACAATCCTCTGAACGACTATCCGCGCAAATTCCCGAGACCATCCGTATATGAATAATTGAATCTCTTGACTTTAGTATTTTTTTCTTATCGGTAGAAGTCGAATCTAAAGCCCTGTTGTCCTCTCTTGTTTTGATCTATATACAGCAGCAAACGAGAACAAAATATTTGTTTGTTATAAAAGGAAACCTTGGAAGCTTCCTATACTTCCTCGACCAATGATAAAACATATTTGCCACGTGACTCAATTACTAATTCCGATCTGGACTGCGCCTTTCTCGGGTGTCGCCCGGTCGCCCATTGAAGCCTCACTTCATCCCATCGTCTTCACTCCCCCCCCCGGTCTTTGGCTTCTTCTTTCTCTCCTCCTCAGCCTGTCCCCATTTTCGTGAGAGACTTCTTGCGGAGACCTTGACTGGTTCAACACGGCTGGACAAGCTGAGGCGAGATCTCTGTTCTACTTTCGATCCAAGAAAGCGCAGACTGGTGAAGGGTTTTCTACGACTGGGGGTGACTCCTTTGAATCCCGAGGGCTCTGGCCTGTGAAAGGTAATGAACCTTTCTTTGTTCGAGTTGATCTTGGCATGACATTGTCGGAGGTCAAAGAACGAGATAACGTTGCGATACGGGAGACAATGAATTTGCCTCAGCTAACTTGACTGCGCACAACAGTGGCCTTGAGCAACTTGATTTCTAATTTTCGACCATTACCCTTGCTGAGGGATCCTCCGCAGGTGGCCCGCTTTCGTTTTCCTCGCTACAGCCGCCAAGCTGTATTCGCCACTTTTCCTTCGCTATTATAATCGGAAATACCATCTACCCCGCATAGCGCCAAAAGTCATTGCACGACGCTGCCACGCTCGATACGAAAGTTACTTGAAAATGCAAAATACTTCTACTCTTGCGAAACCCGAGGTCGCGGCTCCTTGGAAGAAAAACCTGTCCGCTCATCTCGTTTGCCCCGAATGCAAAGAGGATCCTCCGAACCTGGAATTCCCCGACTCCCACGAGACAGTTTGTGGTTCCTGTGGACTTGTGCTCGCAGATCGTGAGATCGACTTGCACTCTGAATGGCGTACCTTCTCCAACGACGACCAAAACAATGACGACCCCTCCCGTGTCGGAGACGCCTCGAACCCTCTGCTCAACGGCGCTCAACTGGAGACTTCCATTGCAAGTGGAGGCTCTGGCCGTGCCCGCGACCTGTACCGCGCGCAAAACAAGCAGTCGGGCGAAAAAGCGAACAAGGCCCTCCTAGCAGCTTATAAGGAAATCGGTGCTCTGTGCGACGGTTTCAACATCCAGAAGACTGTCGCCGATACTGCCAAGTATCTCTTCAAGATGGTCGACGACGCTAAAGCCTTCAAGGGCAAGTCACAGGAAGTCATTATTGCTGGCTGCATCTTCATCGCATGCCGTCAGTGCAAGGTTCCTCGTACCTTCACCGAGATCTTCGCAGTGACCAAGGTCACCCGAAAGGAAATTGGTCGCATCTACAAGGCTCTGGAGAAGTTTTTCACCACCCAAAACGTCGAGCGGCACAACGCTGCTTTGGAAAATGGCGAAACTCACGACTTTGCTGGCGATTACAACGCGACTACTTCAACCAAGCCAAGCGATCTTTGCAATCGTTTCTGCAATCTTCTCGACCTTCCTTACCAGGTCACCAGTGTTTCTGTCTCCCTTTCGGACCGCGTTACCGCCATGGGCGACTTGGCCGGACGTTCTCCTTTGTCTATTGTCGCGGCTTGCATATACATGGCATCGTTCCTCATGGGCCACGGCAAGTCTGCCAAGGAGATTTCCCAGGTTGCACACGTCAGCGATGGAACTATTCGTGGTGCTTACAAGCAATTGTACGCGGAGCGCGAGCGCCTCGTTGACCCTGAATGGATCAAGGGCGGCAAGGGTGATATGGGCAAGTTGCCTGTGAGCTGAACAGTACATCATACACAGCATTTGGTATTCGGACACATTTGATGTTCACGCAAGGGCGACATGGCGCCAAGCTGCCCTGTCGAGAAAATCTATCAAAAAAAAAAAAAAACATCAACATCTGTTTTCTCGCGACACATCCTTGGATGGATGTCTTTGAAACGTCATCATATTAACTCTCTCATTGTATTACCTCTCTGCGATGTGCTTAGGATTTTATCTTTGCTGGATATGGTTATAGAGCAAGCCTGGGACTATTGATTTGTACATCATCATGAATAGCTAGTCGATTGAATAACAATCAGTCATGGCTATGATATCGATCTACGTAGAAGTAGACCAAAGTCCACTCTTAACTGCCCATTTGGATACATCATGCGACCTACGTCCTCGTCGGCACAAGATGATATTCAATACGTGTTAAGTAAGAACATTCCGACGTCTTTTTTAGATAATCTTTTTTAGATGTCTTTGGAGAGGTATAACAGGGTCGAAAGCATAAACCATACACAGGAATTTTTCATGTATGACCTAGGGGTGTATATGTAGGATGATGACCAAACCCAGAGAACATAAAACACCAAATTCCCATATCATCAAAGATCAAATATGGGTGCACAGAAAAAAAACCCAAAGCAGCGCCTGAACCTAGAATCCAAAAAGAAAAGATGATGAACCAGCACCATCTCACAACCTAGAAAATCACAGCCGACGTATCACCAGCACAGCAGGATACCAAAGCAAGGAATAAACCTAGGTCTTGAAAGCAGGCTTAACCGCGCCTTCATCATTGGCATAGTTATACGGTTTATCATACCGCTCCTCCATCTCTCGGTTGTGCTTCTTCACATCCTCGGGAAGATCCTTCTTCGGGTTCCCCTCTTTGTCTATAACAGGTGACCGCTCGCCCTCGTGGAGGGTGGGCTTTGCTTTATTGGAGGGGATTGGGCGATTGGGCGAGTCTGTTTGGTTGGTTGTGGGTTGCTCGGGGTCATTTGAGGATTTTGTCGCGTAGCTTCGGTATAGGGAAGTGCGAGGTGTTTGGGTGCGTGCTGCGGAGAGAGCTGTCATTGGGGATCGGGCTTGGAATGAAGTCTTCAGGCGCATAAAGGTTGTCATTTTGGAGGTTGGAGTTTGGAATTGGTTTTTGAAGGGTATTTGAAGGAGGTTGGAGATGAGTTGCTATAAGTGGAATTGACTTCCTATATAGACAAGTTCCCTATAAAATCAGGTTTCTGGGATTGGCGATATCATTTCGTGATGACGTACTTCGATGTCATAGCCCTGAAGATGTTGAACACGCCAAGAGTTTTCGACAACTTTATATCTATTTTTATTATTTTAGAAAGGGTCTGCTATGGAAGATTCTAGTACAATTTGGACTTTGCTTGCTTCCAAATATTCTCTATTGCTTCCACCAGGAGCGAAAATAAAATGACACGATTACAGAGGCCTAAATAGGGAACAGATTCCAAGAAGTATCTTCGCTAATTATACATTGCTCTATTATATCTCACGTTTTCCAGAGTGGTAAAGCTCAATTTCGATCCATTGAAGTGATATAACAATAATTTAAACAGCTGATAGTTAATCCTGGTATGTGGGATTCAGTAGTCATCAAGAACAAACCAGAGTAACCAATGTAGACCGACCAATCACCAGTTCCAAAGTAACAATAACAGCATTTGCCCAGATGGTCTCTTTGTGCGACAAACTTCCTTGAGGGCGAGGTCAGAGCATGCAACCAGCTCAATTGCCACCTTCAACGCCCATAAACACATATTTGGGCCCATTGCCGCATGGACACATAAAGAATATCGAAAGCAAACCGACGCTCAGTGCGAAAGAATAATCGAATAGACACAAGAAAGCAAAGAAAAGAAGACCGAATCGTACAGTGTGGAGTATCACTCCAACTTGATGCTTGCAACCGTATCTTGCATGGAGTCGATGCATCGACAGCATCAGATGAGCTCCGGGGGTAAAGCGATTGTTTCTGAAGCTCTTCAGCTGCTATCACTGGATTTTACTACTGAAGCAAGGGTTGAATCCGTTGTTTTCTCGGAAGAGCCACCCTCACAAGTACGGGGGTCATTGGCGCTGGACAAATCGCGCTGTTGTGGCTTCTGATCAAGCTCTGGTCTATGAAATGGGTCATGTTGAGCAAGTAGTATCTCATTTCGATGATATTGAGGTGGATGGACTTTTTTGTGCGACCTCTGGTCCTTGCGTTTTGGGCTAGGGGGGTTTGTTTGCTCCGGGCGAAGATGAGATGGGGCTTTTGAGACACTGACAGGATTGCTCAGCATTTGTAGTTGCTGTTGGGGTTGTGATCGGGATTGCTGCCGCTCCGATTCCTGAGTCTCAGAAGCCCTATCTGGAGGATCAATCAAATATCGAGGGGGAAGGTCCTGGATCATAGCTTTGGTAACAGGAAAGGTATGTTCAAAGGCTGTATCCAACAACTTCTGGTCAGCGACCTTTATGTTCTGGGAATTCAGCTTGCGCTTCAGCCGCTCTCGCTCGGAGCTTATCATTCGCTCTCGATGTTGATTTGACATGTCTTCCGACCACCGAGAGTGGTGCGTTTCCGGTATATGGCTTGTGGCCGTCGGTGATAACTCACTAGCTTTTGGACGAGTAGGTCGCTTAGGAGTCTGCCTAGGTGTCCGCCGAGGTGGTTTGGATGCAATAGGGAGCTTTTTAGATGGCGCAAGGCCCTTATTGTGCTGTCGGGACATCGGAGATGGTGTAGCAGTTCTGGAAGCCGGTGCAGAGCACTGTCTCTGCAGTTCATCGACACCGGTGGTGTAGATCCCGTTGAAGATTAGTGGGACCAGCTTCGGTGGGACACCAGCGCGGAGGGCATCCGACAGTATTGACTGCTCGATGCGCCGCTGTTCCAGTATTAAGTTAGCCTGTTGTTTCATTTCTTCTTGCTGCTTGCGCCGGTCTTCTTCAATTTTGGCGTGCAGCCACATCTTCATGTCTTCTGTGCCTTCCCATGCAGCAGGTAGCGGGGGCAGGGGCGCCGACACAGTCAGTGAAGGTAGGCGATTGAGCCCAGGTTGCGGGGCCAGGTCTCTGGATGAGCTCATCGTGGGATCGGGGATCGTTGGGGACTCTGTTGAGTGCCGTGGCAGTAGTTGGAGAGACGGAATCTTTGTTTTGGCAGACTCATAGAGGTCTTTCCCGTTCGTGTGTTTGGAATGTTTTGAGTTGCGCTTCATGTTGATGGGTAGTGCTGAATAGCATCAACACAGGGGACAGGAAGTCACACCTGGGCAGTCAGATTACAAGGTTATGCGAACCTTGGAAGACCTCAGGGGAAGAGAGGGAGAGAAACCCAAATAGGAAACATGCTCTTTCTAGGCTTGAGTCGACCTTGGAGGTGCCTCGTTGAGATGTGCCAGATCTAGTTGTATGTGCAGGAGTGACAGATCTACACAGTTGCATCGGTATCGAATGGACCGAAGACAGGTACCCGTGGACGTATGCACGGATGTCCTTCGCATATCAAGCGTCTCTATGCACCGTTCCTTCCATGTAGGAGGTCACTACCTCCAAGTTGTGAAAATGGAGTTAATATCACAGTCAGATATCCTCTCAACTACATATAGAAGGCAGAGAAAGTAGAGTACTAGTGCAACATTTCATAATCTCCCTTACGTCTGAAGAAGTGTTTTTTTTTATGAGATTTAGAATGTGCATGCCTGTTTTTCTATACTTCTAGGGTTGGTACCTATTGCCTATTGTATTCTGCTCGACTCTATCTCAAATCACCTGCAGAACCCTAATACGGGCACCACAAACATCAGTAGAGTTTCTATAGAATCATCCGCAGAAGATGACGCGCTGTCCACTAAACACTAAACCCGTACAGAGGGAAGTAATCCATATTCAGTTCAAGCCCTTCATCCACGCGGCCACGGCTTGAGCTATTGGTCAATCCGAGAGCAATGCCGGTTATCAATATCAGTCTACAGTGACCGGACACAACACTATGCATGGAAGAGATTCATTTGAAATATATACTGGGCGCATCGGCAGATGCCCACATGGAAGCCGCATCTAGCATATCCCCCAAGCAAAAAATAAAAAAGGGCGCAAGGGGTATCCTATCGTTTTATTCGCCATCTTTATCTCACCACCTCGAGCCCGCACTTGTGGGCACCCGAACAGGGATATACCAGCAAAGGCAGCAGGCAGGTCACACCAATAAGTGTCCAAGCTAGAGGAAAAGTGAAGAAAAAGCAGTCATCGTGCCTGGTTTGTTTTATACGTCGCCACGATCGAGTCGACTCAGGACCTCGGGCGGGACTGTGGGAATATACTTGCGGGCTCGTTCGCGATTCGTGCCACCAAAGCCGGCGCCGTAGCTGACCAGCATGTCTGTACTGGTTGGAAGGGAGAATGGGAGGAAGAGGGTGGGGTCGAGGAAGACACTGTTGCCGCCACCGGGGCGCTCGTCGTTCCTGGCGGCGACCATGCTTGTAGGTCGGGATGATACACCAGCGGAGCCTGGGGATAGTCCGGTGTCAGGAGATGTAGGTGCTGCGGCGGGCTGGTGCTTTGGTGGTGTCTTTGGACGGGCATCTGATGCTGCTTGAGGACCTGGTCCAGCTTCTGCCCTTGCCTTCTCTTCTTGAATTTCCAGCTGCTCGCGGAATAGAAGTTCGGGGTCATTTTGCATGCTGAGAAGGAACTTCATTGCTTGCTTGGTCAGGCCTTTCTCGCCTACTTCTGGGCGGTATGACTTGACTGCATGTAGGAGCTGGGCGGGGGTGAGTTGTTGGAGTTGGAGCAGGGTTGTTACGAGAGATTCGTGGTCCTCGCCGAGCGAGGAGAAACATTGCAGCCATTGGAGGAGTTGAATGACCGCGGCCAAATGTCGACGAGCGGCCTCAATTGTAGACTCTCCGGTGCTGTTGGTAGATCCGTTTTCGTAATGTTCTGGCACACGGTTATTCGTGCGCGCCCAATCCTCTAATGATGAAACGTTCATGCGGATCTGCATCGCCTTCGTGCGCGCCAAGTAACGTTTCGTGCTCATGATTCGGTTAAAGATCTCGGCACTGAGCCAGTAGAGAAGTTGAGAGAGGACCTGGGTCGTGATCACTGAATGAACATCGTAGAGATCAAGTACAAAGAGGGTCGAGGATAGTAAAGAGGTGATGTTCCGAGGTGAGATTTGTGCTCGTCGCCGGGGTGATGGAGGCCGGAATCGCTTCTCATCAGGCTCGGGGGTTTTGCTCTTATTTTTGCGGAACAGGTTCCATTCGTTTTGGAAGGCAACATCTTCCAGTCCAGGGATGGTCTCATGATCCAGCATTGCCGCATCCAGAACTTTGTTCATTCGACGCTCAGCGTCACGAATAATGAGAACGAATATCTCGTTGATCAGCTCCGCCAGATGGAGCTGAAACTCGACGGTAGATTCCACTAAGCCCCCATCCTTCTTCAGGTAATGGAGCAGAAGCGTGGCATTCGACAGCCAAAAGGCTTGCATTGTCATATCCCATTGGTAACGTTCTACAACGTCATTGATCTTCTCCATCGCAGACGATAGCAGAGTTGTGAGGAGCTCGGGGCTGGCATGGTAGTGCGCATAGCGGGCGCTGAGGAAGAGAAGGTTTGCAGGCACTGGCTTTTGGGAAGGAGACCGCTGGGGAGTCATGTTGGTGATGATCATATCCAAAATGCGCTCTAGCTCATGCTCCTGGAAGACAAACATCTGATCGTTCAGACACTTGTCCCAGACAAATTCCTGTTGATCTTCTTCAAGCTCATCCTCATCGGACGGCTATAAGGTGAAAGAAACCAAATTAGTCAAAGTCGAGCCCTTTTTTCACCATATAAACTGACCTCGAATTTCTCGTCAAGCCCTAGACTGGACAAATCAACCTCCAGATTGATTGCGCTCTCTTCCATCATCATTCGCCGCTTCATCTCGCTCTCTGCTAACTCTTCTTCAAAACGACCATGCGCCAATCCAGCGTCATAGAAGTCATCATCGATATTACCAGAGCCAAAGCTGTAACCATTTTCATGCAAATATTCAGAAATCTCACTGCCAGGCTGGGCAAAATCAAAGGCCCTACCACCGGATGACGACTTGATATCCGGTGAAGCTCCATTGTCAAGAAGAATCTTCGCTATCGTCTTGTGTCTGTTGGTCATGGCCCACATCAAAGCGCTCCACTGGTTACGATCCTGTCTGTCGACGAAGGCACCGGCGTCAATGAGCGCAGAAACGACTTCTTGGTGACCCTGTTATAACCCGTCAGCATCGCATCAATATTTTGCATATAGGAGCAACCCACAAAACAACTAGCATATATCAACGGGACAGTTCCCTCCTCATCGGGCTTATTGACATCGACGTAAGTCCTCGCCTGGCCCTGTACTAGTTTCCGCACGCGCTCCACATCGCCGTTACTGGCCGCCATGTTCAAGCTCTTCTGGAGTATATCGCGTTTCTCGTCATCGGTCAATTTCTCGTCGGCGGCAATTGTTTCTTCGTCTGCGGTAAGCGAATCCACCTCCCGATGGGCAGCTTGGGCAGCAAGCATCTCCATCAGTCGGGCGTCACTATCTTCAATATCGCGCCCATAGTGAGCCCGCAATTCGTGCTCATTGTCGTGCGAGTGATCGTCGAGCGCTAGACTGAAGGATAAGGGTTTTGCGGCGACTGGCGCGGTCAGGTATTGTGATTGACCTATGGCAGATTCAACGATTAGACCTTAATGCTTGACCGTAACTCAGCCGGTAATTTTTCCGACATGTAACCATGTAACTGTTGAATGGGATATAGTTTGATCTCCCGCGTCGGGGAAACGGGGAAATAGTTCCGCGGACACAAGAGCACTTACCTTGCCAAGCATCGTACATCTCAGTCTCCGGCTGGAAGACCGGGACGGAACGGCGATCGTCCAGTGATTTGGGCAAGTCATCTGGAAGTTCCTGTTTAGCTTCGTGGAAGGACGCGGGGCTGTGTTCGCTGTAGTCATTTGAGTCGATGGAGTCCTCTGAAGCCCCGCGCCGCGGTTCGGTCATGTCCATCGTGGCGGGCTAGCTGTCTGATAGAGTTGTGGCGGGACATCAAAGAGTTTAAATTTTGGAGATCGAAGAACCCTCTCTGGGGATATGTTCTGTAAGGAGCGCACTCTCCACGCGTGGAGATTGGTTGTTAGAGGGAGATGGTGGTGATGAATGGGGTGGTGGATTTGGTGTTCCGTTCCTGGACCAGCTCCCGCGATGCGACCCCGAGACCCTCGGAGATATGACGCAGCTTCGTAATTCCCTATGGATTGAATGTTGGGCAATATGATATTAGGGTATGAAGTTAAGGCAAATAAATTAGTCGGATAGTTTTTACTACTTATTTTATAATTTTATTTCTTCGACTAAATATGGAGATCATACGGTAAGGCAAGTGAGATGTGCGAACAAACCCCTATTCACCTGCAAAAATATCTCTTTCAAATCCTATTTTTTCTCTATATAACATCATATGATAGTAGAATCTGTGACGCTATACCTTACAGCTTCAGCTAAGGGGAAGTGATACATAGGGCAAGAATTTCGGGGACCAGGTATATAGGGTTAAGCACATATGTAGACAATGCAAGTTTGATAGTACGAAAATAAGGCATAGCTCCAAGGGTTGATGGTCAATATATGACATGCATCTGTAGAAACGCTCCAGATATATTGCTATCCATCAAGGAGGCATAGATATCTCACCGACGTTCTGATGCAGAAAGGAGCGCCCAAAGTCCCACGAGGTATAGCTGTGATCAAGAGAGAACAAGAAGACAACCAAATAAATGGAAAAGGATGCAATGATAGCACTAGACAGCAAACCACCACAAACCAGACAGCTGACTCTGATAGGGTTGGAATAGTAAGGGGCCATGGCCTATGAAGTTACCGCTGCTGAACGCAGACAAGGTGAGATATCCAGGCCAGGCAGACCAAGATATGCATACTGAAGGCAGCCACTGGACTGGCAGGTATATAAGATCAATGGCGAGGTTATAGAGCGAACCGCGAACGGGGTTACCGATTCTGGCAGACCGAGAATGACCGAAATGTGCATGATAATTGCTGTCATTATAGGCTGGCTGGCAGATATATATATAAAAAAAATGGCGACGATAGGTAGAGAGCGAGCCGTGAACCACGTAAGCGACTCGAGCGGATTGGGAATGGCAGGGATAACCAGACA